GACTTCAAAGGGGAGGTGTTAGGAGGCACTCCTAACGAACATATTGCTCAACATTTCTCTCCCTCTATTTCAGCCTTTCATTGGACTGTTTTGTTCCACTCCACTCTTGATTCTTCGAATCTCGATATTGGCTGTTCAGTTGCTGCAGTATAATTTCCTCAAGGCTTTTTATCTGCTCAATTTCGTGTGTAACTGACAAGGTTGATTGACTGTAGAGAAGAGAACATAACAACAACACAAGTGGTTATTCTGGGGGTCCCATTCAGGGGCAAAAAGTGGGAGGAAGGAGTCACCGCATTGTGCTTGCCGATTGACTGATTAGTAGAGAACATAACAACAACACAAGTGGTTATTCTGGGGGTCCCATTCAGGGGCAAAAAGTGGGAGGAAGGAGTCACCGCATCTATATGTGCTTGCCCGGAATCATTGCAAGATACGACTGCAATCAATGTCTCGCACTAGTGATGCTGTCAGTGATGACGATAATGAATAGTGTAATAATAGGAATAATAATAATGATAACGAAGCAACTTTGTTCATGCGAGTAGTGACGTATAACTGATGACAATAAAACGGAGCCGAGATGACTATCAGCTTAAGAATAACCAGTCCATGGATCTGGATTTCCTTGTTAACAACTGAGTTGCAAGACAGTGATTTTTTATGATACAGGAGCGCGGAGTATTTGCGTTATCTTTATTTTTAAGGCATGAGCAAGGGGCATATTGTCCAGCCTTGAACTCACGTTTCTTGGGAACCTTAATAAACTCTAAAGCGCAATACATCCTGTTGCTGTTCCATAGAATATCACATCATGCGCCTTGAATAAGTTCGTATGCAGTGGAAAGAACTCACCGGTGGGTGGTACCCAAGTGACATAATCCGAGTCGGCTTGTTCGTAGACATCTGGCTGTGGTTGTTTGACCTGATGAACGAAAGTTGGAAACATCAAAGTTAAAGGAATGGGGAAAGTTAATCCAGAGTTTTACTAGCTGAAATAAAGCGCAACGAGTGACTTTTCTTTGAGCTTTGTGAGTGCTCATGCCTGTCCTGATAGTGAATAATTTCGGTTTGGGGAATACCCAGTAACGAATTCCAACGGCACCTATGTGCTGTTCCGAAAAATCCGTTAGGTTTCTCACACTCACAGGCATATGTGGTGAGGAAATAATACACAAGACTAATCGATTCTTGAAGAGCTTCTATCTCCAGCCTATCTAGTGGCGTTGAATAGATTTTAAGGGTACTATTTCTCTATGATGCGGTTAACTGAAAAGATAGGTGTCGTTTGATTCGTTTGCTGAATTAGGTCATTTGCTTGCAGTGCTCACATAATTGACACGGATAACCATACGAATATGACAGAACAGTTCAGACCGTTTTGTGGATGTCATCAAATCGCTTGTGAGCCGTTCTTCAAAGAGCAGTGGAATCAGTCTTCGTACCACCAAAGAAGCATGTTAAGGCCTTGAGATTACCCTAGCCCATCAGTCTCAGCCCAACCAAACAAGTAGTTAGCGTGCCTTAGGCCGATCGTAAAGCAACTTAGCGATTCAGTCCATAGTTAGTATTCACCGTGAGATACAACTGAAACCGTGCTTTCGTAAACCAGTGTTCTAATTAACGCAACTCATCACAAGCTGCTGATATCCATGCGTTACCGTGGAATATTGTGCACATGTGCATTAATGTCAATTTTAGTCGCCATTGGTACTGGTTTGTGAATAATGGTTAGTTGATTGAACTTATCTGGATTTTAGGTAGAAATACCGGATAATAATAATATATTGATAAGTATTCAGCTGTAACACCCTTCCAGTACCCAGCTACCACGCCATCTGAGGGAAGTGCGGGAGCTGAGATACCGCTAGGTTGTCCAAGCCTAGGCAGGAATAGTTGAGATGCAGAGGTTGGTTTCGCACCACGGACCTTCCATTAAGAAAGTTCGCGCTTTAACCAATGAGCCATCTTGAGTTCCATATAGCAAGTCCAGGGTTTCCGACCACTTGGGAAGTCTCGTTTTAGGGAAAGCAATCCTGCCCACTTGATTTTCGAACATTTTAGGTTGTAACGAACAGATAAATGGTTGTGCACTACCATATCTATAAGTAAACGACCCACATTGTGTGAACAAACTGTTAAAACTAGAAGGGGATACTTGTGAGAGCGTCTTACGTAAGTGAAATAAAGACTGTGCGATAACGGACTGCGACTGTTTAGAAAGAATTATATTTCAAGGTCTCCGATCCGAGGATATTAATGCCCCCGAAATCTTTGACGGTTTGTATCTTCGCAGCATAGTCATCATCATCATCGACAGCATGACATCAGTGTTCAACACCGATGCTTCACTGCCGTAGCAGCATAGTGAGCGCGAAATGATCGCAGACCTGACAGAAATAATTCGCTCACGGGGCAGACAAAGCTCGCCAGATCAAAGTTAGGACAATCACTACGCATGCCAGACCATTGTTTACCGAGGAAAACCGTATTTTCCAGTCCAATCTCATGTGGGCGAAAGAGCCACCTAAGACTCCATAACGTAGCGAAGCGAAATGATCAATATTACCAGATTTAATACCTTCTTAGGAGGGATCAACGTTATGCTTCTTGTGCATGGTTAAAAAGCCTTCAGCAAATGGCTTGCGGTAAGCTAGCGCCCATCTGTCGTTGTTTGTTATGATTGTGTCAGATAACGTTCAAAAAGGGTGCAGATCTGCCGCGGTGACTTCTTACTCAAACAGGATATTTAAGTTTGTTTAAGCCGGTGATTTTAGCAGCTGTAATTACCTTTCGTTTGGTTGCTCCGTCTATGCCGTTTGCAATAAGTCTCTATTTATTGGAACCGTCTTCATCGATTGTTGTATGGCAGTCAAGCAGAAGTCCCCACTACCGGTGTATTGCAGTCCATGATGAGACCAAAGGGTGGATTCCGTAAACAGATTTATTCGACAGTTAAAACAACCCACAACAGAATCACAAGCCACGATGTCTCGAGAGGAAACACGCTTTCTTCCGAGAATGGTGTCCCTCTAGTTAAGGACAAACGCTTGGAACTTGGGTTACACCAAAACTTCATTTAAGTCATTCTGGTTAGCTGGAGGCTCCACACACTGTAGAGGGCTATATGAAAAAAATAACTTAAACCATTGGACCCGCAAATCGAACTAACGAGCTGTCCAGATGAGGCCACCAAACGTCAACCGTGGATAGTGTTTACGCAAGGGGTTTATGAAAGTGGCTCATTCTGTCCCGAAAGATGGTAACCCGAAAATAGCGCAAAATCTGCTTTGGTGCCAAATTTCGTTTCTTCTTTCTCAAAACGACACAGATCCGTTTTTGAGCTGTTTCAGGAGGCTCAAGAAGACTTCCACTGTGAGGTGCTTTTCAATGACTCGATAACAAAACGACAAACAAAATGTTTCGAACGGAAAATATGCAACCCAACAGTAAGTAATAGCATCCACTAACGGCCGAGAACTTACCCGTGACTTTCTGCTGGGGAGCAATTCTACGTCTGACGGAACAGTAGGTCCGAGAGTTGGACGCAAGGAACACGTATCAGCAACCAAAGAATCTGAATGGTAGGAACATTATTTGTGTGAGCATGCGTGTGTAACTTTGCTGAGATGAATCAAACGAGAAACAAACTGGAGAGGATGGAGAGTAAAACGTCAGAAATGATCACGTGAATCTTTGTTCTAAGCAATCATAGGCATCCAATGAATCACTTTTCTGAGCAGGCTATTCAGGAGCTATCGTCTATGGTAATCAAAGATAACAACTGAAACCAAAGTCTGTAATGTGCAAACAGGGTTCCTGCAGAAATAACACATTCTTACGAGCCATGCAGTGCTTTAGCAATGTGAGTATTCGGGCCCTTTACATGCACTAAAAAAACGCACAACAATTAGTGCTCTGTTATACACACTGGAATTTCATCAAATTCCACAACTAACCACATTAAATGAGGCAAGCGTTTCAAAGCGTATCTAGAACTATTGAAATGGATAGTTTGCACGACAATCCATCTCGAAGGAACTGGAGCTTATCGTGAAAACGGAAATCCAACCTCATCTCCCAGCACATACCGCTACGTCTCCTGTCTGGAACGCCCTCTGACAGCATCCAAATCCACGTACAACCATCACACTTACACAAAACCAATTTCGTGCCACATTGGCCGTCGAATGGTGCCGTAAGTTGTATAGACTCCCGCATACAACAGGGCGAGTAAGCGAAAACAGACTACTGCTGACGCCTCCCTTCTTTCTCTTCCAAATGTTATTTCTTACGCTCTCTCCACTCCATTAATAACTGTCCCTTTGTAGGCCCCTCACTAAAGACTGATCACTCCGTCCGTCCTTTATTGGTTTGGAAGGCAACATCTGCGCGTCATACGGCGCCGACATCCTCAGGCATATCGAAATCACTCTTGCCTAGACGCTCAGTCTATCTGGCCGCCTTCAGCGTCCGCACTCTGAAGCCAACAGGTGAACAAGCTGCTCTTGCTCTCACATTGGACTTGCTGGGCATTGATGTGTGCTGTGTATCAGAAATAAGAACTCAAGATGCAAGCACTGTGGTTGTCAGTTTCTATCCAGATTACCTGAAAGAGTGTTTGGAGATGTGGCCACCTCGGAATGTTTGTGGTAGATTTGCACTGAGTCCCTTCCCCGTCTATCTTTATTCTTTTCTTTACAATACGACTTTCAAATAAGTCATGATTGTACTACAGCGAAGCGTTGGTGTTAAACAGTGATATTATTCTGCCAGCGAGGATGTTTGACCGAACATTTGTACAGAGTGAATAACTCTACTGGGTTACTGAAGATGCGGTTGTGTTCATCTGGTGAGTTGTGACCCGACTTTGAATCCCCTATGTGCATTGATGATGAGCCCCAGTCACAACTTTTCCTCAGTATTAATCCCATGCCGCCTAAACAAAAGTTCTTGGGGGAAAATCACCGAAATTTGAAAAATATATACATGATAATCCTAACGACAAAATATGTACCTTTGCTATCGCCCATCGGTTTGGTAGCAGTATCCACAGCAGGTTTGTGTTCATGGGCCACAAAACCGTCTACACTGTGCTCAGTCGGTATTTTAGAACCCGTGATGATTTCTAGATCGTCTTTATTTGAGGTCTTCGAATCCGTTTCAAGAGAAGGCAGTGCAGGAGAATTTGGGTTTGGACGATCTCCCAGTGTTGAGTGTCCAGTGGCCGCCTCCACTTCTTCATCATCATCTTCTTCAACTTCAAATGGTTGATCTTCGCTGACATAGTGAGTATAGTCAGACTGCTGAACCTGAAAAAGGTGTAAACAGTAAGTAACCGTAGGATGGACATGAGGAAATGGTTAGCCTACATTCTGACTCACATCACTGTGGTCCAATTTACAAATGGTGTCGTCTGACAGGCATGGGGCCAGGTAATCTTCTTGATCGCTTCAGCCCAAGTTCACCAACGGGGTACACATGGCTCAGTCAGTCAGCCAGAGACTATGTGTCCGCGAACACCGGTTTCATCTGTCAGATATCCGTTCACAGAGAACGAGGAATTACAACCATATATCAAAGAGATGACTCAATCTGCTCCTCCGTGTAACGGCATTAGATCTGTCTGTCAGAGTCATGTAATTAAGGCAATGGTTTTGAAGCAGGATCGCCAACTGCTAGGTCCACTCTTACACCTGTCAAGGGATGTCTACCGCCGCGGTCCTCACAAAGCGAAAATAAAAGATGTGCATGTACAGTTTTTCTAACTAACAGGATCAAAGCAAGGTTATCTAATTAATATGATCCAAGAGGTTCACGGTCTCACTGCGTACCACTCCACGCGTTGCACGTGCGCATTTTTAGTTTCCATCTGTTCAATCGGTTGATCATCAACATATGCAGTGAATGTACGCCGTTTGCAGTCTGCCTAAGAAGCTCAAGTAAGCAGTAGAAACCTGGTAAGTAGTCGAAATCAGGATGTACTTGGTGACGCACTGTTCTGGGTGGCAATAGGCGATCCCAGATAACAGCGCCTGTTTCAATCATAACAATCAGTATCCATCCGAGCTCACCGGTTTCTGCTACGCTGTGCGATATCAAGACCGGAGATCTTGACTGGATCATGCGTGCTTTGGTCCAGAGAGGCCCCGGCTGCTGGAATGATTGGCCACCATGCCAGCGACAGACTAAGGGAAGTAGGGTTTGCTTACGTATCATCACACAATGATACACAAAGTTTTCAGCAGCCTCGTGAATAAATTCAATGGAGGAAGTCAATTACGTTTTCGCTTCCGGCAGAAACTACCTTTCAATTAATGAAACAACACGCCAAGTTTAGTTTCACTCAGCGTTCCGAACAATTATGAGATGTAATCGAACGAAAGTACTGATGACTGATTAGATTATCCTTTTGTCCGTAGGCCAGCCGCCCCTAATAACCGAACAGCACGTCAATTGGACGGATGTGTCGCGTGCGGGCTACGGATCGAACAAAGGTATGTTCTGATTAGTCAGAATACCAGCCAATCTGGACCAAGCATCTTTAGCTCGACGCTTCTCGCCACCTAAGAGAGATCCTAGCACGACCTTGTGGAACATTCTGTGATTACCCTATAAATACAGCTGCAATAATCTTCCTTGGTCTCCACTAAGGGCTGTCTGAAGCTACCGTGCTTTTTGACATACCACAATGGGCGGAGCACGAAGCCAAGGACCGACACAGAGTTGCACGGCCGTTCAGCAACTCACAATACCTTCACATACTTGGCTAACTAAAAGAAGAAAGTGTCATGCAAACCGAAAATCCTACAGGCAATCTTAGTCTTATTGAACCGGTCCCGCTATGCGTTACTTGGTTCAGGCACTCTAGAAAACCGTCCAGCTGTAACACCCTTCTGGTGCCTAGCTGCCATGCTACCCGAAGAAAGCACCAGGCCTGGGATACTGCCGGGTTGCCTAAGTCTAGACAGGGGAAGTCCAGAGGCATAGATCGGGTTCGAACCACGGACCTTCCGGTCAGTAAATTCGAGCCATCTCGCCACTTTAGAGTGTACTGTAATCGCTTTGTTCACATCTCCGTCTTGTAGCACGTTTTGTGACTCCTAAGTCCATCCACTGCGTGTGCTGTTTTCGTTTTGGTCGTCCCTAGTAGCAGGATGTCCTGCACATAGCACGAGCTGTATTGGTCGACCAGGCTGAGGCGGTGGTCAATTTTGATGCTCTGTGGCCCATCGATGTAAAGACGAAGCTGAGTTACGGTTACCATTAGTTAGCCATAGGTGTGTCTCATGAGAGGTGCAGGTACCAGGCCCCACATTCATTATGCATTGTGTATCTGAGAAGTTCAGGTGTCTACGCTCGACAACTATGGACTGCTAGTTAGGTATGCCGAAGGTGTTAGGACTTCTCCCTCTTATCTCCTCTCTGATCTAGTTCCCTCGGGTTTAAATCGGAATACAGGGCGCTCATGAGAATTTCAAACACCATATTCAATTGAATGACAAACAATGAAAACTAAACAATCCTGCATTCTCACCGTACGATGACCTGCCAAACTTCGTTTGATTTCATTCCTTAGGAGACGCGCGTTCTTTGGGCCTCTATTAGAGACAAAAAAATAAACAGCAAAAGGGATGTTTGTCAGCAAAAGTTATAGAAATTTACGTGAATAAGAGGGATGTGTGTGACACACAGATGCGGAGGAATCAGAACTTGTGGTTGGCGGCTCAGCTGAATCATACCCACGATAACAACTGGTGCTCGATGACACAGTAGCAGATGTGGGGTGAAAAACGTGATCTGAGGATATGCAATCGGGGCGAAAACTCCGAAAATGTCCGTTACAAGGACACATAGGTGTTGCTTACTGTTCTGAAGCAACTTCGCGCGAAGCCGCTGCACCAGTGTCTTCTTGGAGTTTGCGCTTCGCTGCACGAACCGCAGCTGCTGCATCGGCTCTCACCGTCTTTTCCACAACAGGAACCCGTTCTTCACCTTCTTCGCCATCAGTGGTAATCAGTTTCACCCGCTGTCGTGGCTGAGGAAGTCCGGCTTGCTGAAACAAACGCATTTCCCTTTGCCGAAGAGTGAAAAGTTGAGACCTTAATTTCAAACGCTCCTTACGGGAAGGTGCACCTGTGAGGGAAAATACAGATAGAAGATCAGTGAGTACAAAACGATAGTGGAATGAGCGAAGTGCTCCGTTTTCGAGCGATATACTTCTTAAATCCGGCTATTGGTTTGCTGAACTGGAATTATCAACTACGGAGAGTCGCTGTTGACTAGAATCATCATCTCAGTACGTTAACGCTTACCGTTACAGACTCGAGAAACGCGCATTGTTACACACGCTAGCAAAGTGATGCGTCATCGTACTACTAACCGAGATGTATTGCACTACTTACTCTCTCCTGACCGGGATGGTGACGTAGAAGACCATTGCCACGCGTTTTTACGATCCATAGAGGCAGTATATATTGGCTCCCAGCCCTCGAGACACTCGCAATACGGTTGTCGTCTCACAAACAGAAAGGTAGATATGGATGTTCATTCGTTTGCCCGCGAATCTGTCAAAATGTACCTCAATGGCAGACACAAATATATATTTTCCTCACAGAGACTCCCATGATGTTGTGGTTTGCTCCATGGAGAAAGTGTATTATTGCCCTGCTCGCCGAAGTGAGTACAGAACAAATGAGCCAATGTAGGAACCTAAGGCGCTGTCGGAAAATGAGTAATAAGGTCCATTTTGAACCGGCCTGCAAGCCTGTAAATTAACCATCGAAATTGGCAAACACAACAGCAAACGGGGAGAAAGATAACCGTAAATTTTTGCAAAACATCGATAGATCACAACTGATTTCGCTCTTCTGGCTCATCATGTGGGCGCAGTCCCAGAGTTTCCGTCAATTTGAAGTTCTACTTAAACCCAAAATGTACGAAATTCGCGAAATACATTCATTTATGTGCCAAACGGATCCCAGGTGAATGATATGATACCCTTCAACTGAATGTGCTGCACAATCTACTAACGTACCCAGGAGTAACGAGGTCGATTTCCAAAACACCGAGGTTAAAGCCAAACAGTAATCAACCCCAGCGACATCATCATCACCGTGGGCAGCACGGCGTCAAAGTTCAAAATTGATGCTTCGCTGCAGTACAACAATGATTTAGTTGAAAGCCTTATTGTAAAGAATAAAGGTGGACGGGAAAGGGACTCAGTGGTAATCTTCCACAAACATTCCTTGGGTGACAACACCTCCAAACACGCATTCAGGTAATCTGGATAGAAACTGACAACAAGATCGCCGCTGGCATCGGTTGGCAGCCATATCTTGCAGCGTCTCCAACCAGGCACAGTGAAGATCACGCGGTCCCCATCGTGGAAGGCAAGCACCCAAACGTTTCGTAATCTCTTTCACACCCACCTGCCAAGTCAAGGGTTGACCATCTCTCTCCTTCCTCCACTCTGAATTGGGCACGGAAAACAGCACCCTCTTCGGCAAACGCATTGCGCTGCCTACCCAACGCCTACCCGTTGCTGGACACACCCTCCAATGGGATTCCTCGCTGCACAACCATAAACTCGCTTTCTAATTGCCTCTCTACTAATTCGTCGACACCAATACACACGAGCTATGGTTATGAGACAACAGTTGTTGAAGACCTGTAAACGCCTCGTGTCCGCTGCTCAAACAGACCAAGTCCCACAGCCATACAAAAAAACAGCCCGTACTGTAGCCTGAAGAACACGCCCTTTGAGATTCAGGGATATACCACTTCGACGCCATAAGTGTCTCAAATTAGCAAACGCGACCCGACCCTCGCAGATTCCTGCCCTTGCAAATTCGTGACCTCATCTGTCACAACAATCAAAACTAATACAACTTCCAAGGTACGTAAAACGCTCCACAACTTCGAATGCCTCGCCCTGGATCGTAAGTGGCATGTTCAGTGACTGCATATCAACAAGCATGACCTTACACTCTGTGGGTGTAAAGGGCATAACATCCGAAAACACCTGAGACTTGTCCTCTTCGACTGCATATTCCAGACTGATAATCTTCTCGTCAAAGGCTATTTGAACAACGGGTGATCACAGAGGCTTGTCCTGTTTGACGTATGAGAAACACATGAGTTTCAGTAGTATGGTCGAGATGGCTCAGTTGGTTGGAGCGCGAGTTTACTGACCGGAAGGCACGTAGTTCGAACCTTATTTCTGTCTCTCGACTTCCCCTGTCTAGGCTTGGGCAACCTGGCAGTATCCCAGGCCTCGTGCTTTCTTCAAATTGCATGGCAGCTAGGCACCAGAAGGGTATTACAGCTGAATTCCAAAAAAGTATGGTCGAAGGTTTGAGTGATTGTGACATTACTGAAGATGAGAGGGTGTTTTATCGCTCATGACGTGTAAAATCGGGGGAGAATTAACTCATCATCACGGTGCTTGACTTGGTGAGTAGGCTGAGAGCGCAACAATGACTCTATTTGATGGATTTGCTCGGTGCCCGATAGGTTCAGATATGGAGAATGGGGGAACTTACCAGACTTTAAGGCTTTCATGTACGTTTCCAGTTCGTCCAACTCTGACGGATTCGGTCCTTGGGGAGTGAATTCTGTGTACAGGAAAGATAACAGGTCGAACACGTAAGCGCCCCAAAGTGAAAGTTGGGATATTTTTCCATTTTTGCCACACAACCAAAAGTGGTCGATCAGGCTCAAAAAAAGAAGTGCTTGAAGTTGATAGAAGGGAATAGACTATTACACTTAATATAAATGAAAGGCCAATCTACGGCACAGACCTAAATTAAGGATGGAGGCTTGCTTCAAAGACGTCACGGAATGTATGTGGTTAGAGGTCCACATCTGTAAGGTAAACAAATGGGTGCATTTAAAGTTGAAATTCACCGGCTTTCCGTTTGCATTCTTGACGATTTGAAGAATGGAAGAAAAAACACTACCATCCACCCTCTCGGATCGGATCTAGGAATCCAAACGCTAGTGGTGCCAATTGGAAAATGCCACAGTCTTGACTATGGAGGGGTCTCCACATGGAACACAGAAGCGGAATGTCTCACAGATCGCCACGCTGACAACAGCAGATTACTACGTTTGTAATCAATGATGGACGGTGGAGCTCGTCCTACAGAGGTCAATTTTATTGACTGGACTAAATAAATGATGAGATTATAAACATAAAAGGGAGCAAATACAAACCTTTGTTAATTTTCTCCAACTTCTCTTCAAGAGATACGATTTCTTCACCAACTTTCTCCAATTCGGCCAGCTGTAAACACAGAAAAGACAGTCGTTCAAACATCGGATTATGAACAATGAAAACAGGATAGAGTGGGTAGAACAGTCCTCATCAGTAATCCAAAATGAGCCTCTGACTCCGAAGGTTACCAACGAAAAATATATTGGTCTATAAGACATGCTGATAAATCCTCGTGTTAGGAACCGGAGCATTGCCAAAGGCGTTCCTAAAATTCTGTTCAAAAGACGTTGGAAGAGGCAATGATTTCCTGTTGACAGGGACCAGAAAGGTAGAAATTGGAAGAGCCACGCAAGAGACTTGTACACGCAGCCGGACTTCAAAACGCTACTCGTGATATAATTTGCAGATAATTATAGAAAAATAGCGTCCACGTTGATTCATCACGAAGTGCTTTTGTGCAGTTTACCTAAGAGTAAAAAATTCACAGTTCCAAAAGTCTTGGTAGGTGAACCCTGACACCAGACTGGTTAGACAACCTAACACCGCGACATACCACAGTCAATAGGGTAGCATTGTCCAAACGCTGTGCTGAATACGGACGTGTGGCTGTTGCATTTTCTGCAGCTCGGCGTTCAGCTTCCTCGGCTTCTCGACCCTCCACGCCTAACTGGCGAATTCTATTGAGACGTTTTCGTTCCACATGTCCAGTTCGGTCAGTGAAAGTGTCTTCGTCAGATGAGTAGTAGTCATGTTCTTCCCAATAGGCCTTAGTTCGAATTCGTTTGGCGGCCGTGGATTGGTCTAGCGAAGGAGTAGGATGAAGAACAACATGCAGTTGGCCTCTGGACATATTGGATACTCAATAACTTTGAGAACAGAGATACAGACAGATACACTCATTCGCAAATGAATTTAGTTTTCACGGGGGACTCAAGTGAATCCCCAGTTTATGACGTTCTTCAACTAAATGTGCTGCAAAAAGGCCGTCTCATGTTTCAGTTGGCAATCAGTCCAATTTGGGTTCAAGTAGTACATAAGGCTGACGGAAACTCGCGGACTGCGCCTACCTGATGAGCACCAAGAAGGGCGAAACCGAGTGGGCTGTCGAAGAGTTTTCAGCATCCTCATGAGTAGTTTGCTTTATGAAAAGAGGTAAAGACGCTTAATTAACAGGTTTCGGAACAAAAACATTGCGCTTCTTAATTATTGATCCCAATTTGAACAGATCTATCACAGACCAGTTTTTAATACTGACAATAGGAAAGTCCCCACTTCTCACGACTATCTGTATTTTTCCCGCAACCGATAAGGAAGAAGAATGCTGATAGCTCAGATAGCTTAGATGGTCGTTGGTTTCTTCCGTCGGCACTCACTGAGCGTAACTGGGACCAAATCGAGAAGCCTTGGCAACTATGTTCGCCATGAACAAGTTTTACAAAGTGCCTCATGGGTGTTAGTTCACTCGAGTTATCAACACAAACTTCTCGTTAGTGCCTTCCGATGAAGTGGATGAATGACAGCTTACACAGTTCATTGTTTGTATCGCTTGGCAAACGTGCCTGTGGGCAACGATCACTCCATCAAATGGTCACATAGGTCGGGCCTAAGTGCTACCAAATCTGATAGATCCCCAGCACTGCTAACTGTCGCTAACTGTCGGGCACTCCTGATAACTTCTGCTATGGCACATGAGGCATCGGAAAATGGCACATTCCCGCCGAACGCACTGGAAGCCGATTTGTCCGGACAATTAAATTCAGCCGCCGTGTCAATTTCGACATTCGCCTTTTGAGTTCGCTTGATATATGCTTTTTCCCGGAAGTGTACTTGTGACTACGAAACGCATTCCTTAGAAAAATTCATTTCCGATACGCCATGAGCAATCACCTGATGTCACGGCTCGCAGCTACGCTTACTTGTCCTTTACGGATCAACCTACGAGTTCCTAGTGCCCATTGTCGTCAAAGTCCTGTTGGAAAACAAAATTGTTCCCTTGGCCTGTGCGATGAGCCTCGTGAAGACGAATTTACGGGTTTGATCAAAGCATAAAATTTCTTACTTCTAGTAGATGCACAAAACAACCGGCGGGAAGTAGTTCCCTTGGAGCGCACTACAGTCCTACGACTACAGGACCTCACAATTTTCGGCAACAGCAACGCGCTTACACCTGCAGAGTTTTCAACCTTCTGTCGGCAGGACAGTACATAAAATATCCAGGCCTCACCATTCCATCCACAAAACTATGACCAGGCGGAAAAAATGGTAGAATTGGTGAAACTTAGAGGGAAGGTGATTACATCGGAAATCACGAAGACGTTTATAGCCACAGAGCAGAGCTCATAACAGCAGCTCGCCGGCGGGGGGCATTTATGAGGCAAAAAATTAGCCAACCTATTAATATCACTCCCCCACCGACCACAAGAGGTGCCCTCGTGGAGTCAGAGTTTAACCACTCATATGAATCTTGTGTTCGTATCCGGCAAATATGTGCTAGCAAGAGGCTACACAAGTGGTTCCGAAAAATGGGTATAAGGTTGTGTTATATGTTGCAACATGTAACATATAACATGCAACACTCTCGTTTGAATGCGCTCTTCATCTCCGCCTGTATATATAGGCTCCGATCCTGCCACTCGGTTTTTTGTACCTCTCGAACTACCGCCGAGAAGCAAATCTTTTGGACTCATTATCGCTTTAGATGCCCCAACAAAAAGACCTAGCGAGTAGACGGATACAAGTTGAAATGAGGCCACCCTGATGTAGGTGATTCGGTGACTGTAGTCCGATGATAGCCGACCTCATTTCTAAAAACTTTTCCTTTCAATTGTGGCTTTTCAGTGCTGAGCACTTGGACTGTGGCGTTCCCTTCTTCCTTCAATACATACTACGTCAAGACTGATCGCCTTTTTTAAATTACAGACCGCTGGATCGCATTACAAAATAAGAAAGTTCCACAATTTAGAAACAAAGAATCACAAGACAAGACCGGGTAGTTTAAGCTTCAACAACGTTGTTCACGAAGAATAAGCGGAATAAGGGGACACACACTGCAAGCGGTGGCTCAATTAGTTCACTGATTTTGCACGGCTCTATGTGACTGGGATAGGTTGAGTGGGAAAGATACCCATAGGCCAACAGCTTTGACATAGATCTGCCGACGACTGTCAAGGTCACCTAACCACTGGTGTGCTTAAACTACAACGGTCGGTTCACCTGCAGACATGCAGCTTTGGTTTGACACTGAGCACTCTTACAGCGGCACTTTGCATACCGCAGACGTGAAGTGCATACAGTGTCCAGCAGCAAACTTATTCAGGTTACTGAGATAGACGGCATTTCCAAGGGTATGGTTTGACAACAGCGATAGAGTCAATGCACTATCTGTGGGTAAACGCCCAGGGAAGAATTTGATTTCTGAGTTTCGATTAATTTAGGGTAAAGCTTGCCACAGACCCATGTGCGCCTCCCTGGTAGTAGGCGTACAAAGCGTCTGTGAGAGATGGGAATTCGATTGCCAATCACTGTAATGGTTTCCGGCGATCAGTAAACCCCTACGCTAGAAGGTAGGGTATAGTTCAAGCATTTTCTCAGGATGAAGAGATGATCGATACAAGCTTGACCTGGGAAAAACTAAGTGTGACTCTCACATGTAATACGTGTGATGAGTGGGGAACCGGTAATTTTCGCAGGGTACCACGCAGCCTTTTGTAGAAACTGGAAACATCAAAGAAACGCTTTGTCCGACTCTGGCTCAAGTTTGCGGAGGTAATCATCAACTTGCTAGGAAAGTTCCGGATGCAAACCCAAGGATCAGATGATTAGTTAAGCTGGAGCAACGAAATTTCGCAAATCTCTGTTGCGATTGTTAACATCCCCATTTAAGTTCATGTTTCGAAAGCTGTGAACACAGCATTCCACATTTTCCCACTCGTCCCCAAATCCTAAGTGCCATTAGCATGCCATCCCCTTTCTGAAAGTTTTCAGCTAACTCAAATGGGGAGATGAGAGGAAGAGGTGATCAGTCAAATCACCTTGCGTCAAGCAACGTGATTTTGGAGAAAAGATCGATACGCATGTCCGCATGTGCGATCCCAAATGAAAGAATTTTTTGGGATGAAATCTTTCACGCGTAGTTGGATGCAACACAGTTCAAATCGGTCTGTGAATGAGTTGAGGGTGCTAACCTAGAAGTAATATGGTGCGAACACTTTTGAATGTTTGTGCTAGCTAGAAACAAATGATGTTCAGCACATAATGGAAGGAATAGCTCTTCATTATCTATGCGGGAGCTCCAACCTCGGATTGGCAAAAGGATCGAATTCTTTGAGGTTTGGTCGGCCAACCTGGACAGTCATATCACCTGTTAGAATCACAATATCTGTACTTTTTGCTAACCGGAGCAACCGTGAGAAATCTTCACGGAAAGCACGCTTCTCAGCTTCATGCTACGGCAGGTCGGAGCGTATGCTGATACAACAAACCAACGCCATTTGCAACCGATTAAACGGAAGATGCGAAGACAACTGTTCACTGTAATACGGACCACGAAAGTGATTCCGATCATCAGGATGAGTAAAATCCCCACGTCACAACTAGCATGAGCCGTTGAACAAGAGTGACCAGACAGTTCAGTTCAGTTTGGCAGCCGTGAAGGGTGTACGTATGTGCGCTGGTTCAGTTCATTCCAGTTTATGGGAGTATAGACACGGGGGAGTACAGATAAAACATTCTTAGACAAAAAAAAGGACAGGGGGCCAATGATCAAAAATAAAATAATAGACACAACACCGCCACTGGTTGTGTGGCGTGGTCACACTGATAAGCACCGGTGAAAGTCATTATCCCAACCTCGCAGATGACCCAACAGAAGTACCTTTCCTGGGAGCAATAACATGAAGGCCTAACAAAGTTGACCTGGCCCAGGGACGAAGAAAGTAAGGCAAACATGCCTGGTGCTGCTAAGCAAAGCACATGTGACTGGAGTCGCATTACGTCCATGGTAAGGTTAATCTTCCAACCGCACTGAGGAACGCGCAGGCTGTTACGGTCAACCGTTTGACGACCGTAACGTGCGGCTTTTAGAACCGTCCCTTTACTATCTCTATAACTATGGAGAAATTTATTTCCTATAGGCCTCTACGGGAGCGAGATGGCCCAAGTGGTTAGAGCGCGAATTTACTGACCGGAAGGTCCGTGGTTCAAATCCGACCTCCAACTCTCAACTTCCCCTGTCCAGGCTTGGGCAACCTAGCAGTATCCCAGCTTCTTTCGGGTGGCATGGCAGCTAGGCACCTGAAGGGTGCTACGGCTGAACGCTTTCTTTTTTTTCATAGGTCTCTACAGAGAACAGTAAAACTTCACCCGTAAGCGATTTCTAAAGATGATAGTTCGGCAAACAGGAGAACTGCTAAGAAATCCATCCGGGCTACTAACACATCATCAAGCTCCAGGCTGCTGTTCTAGTTGCCGGATGTGGATATGTAGTCGACCAGAGGCTCCTTCAATTAGCGGATAAAGTAACAGGCACCAAGCGTGAGGCGACTGCGTCAGCAAACTCACCTTTATTCGGATCAAATTCACCAAGACGGTCCAATAGTCGACATGCTTCCAGCGCGCACTGCGCGATGGCCTCTTTCCGTTTGCCTGCCACAATCGCCTCAGCTGTAATTGTTCCGCTCGACAAAGGCAGACTATTAAAAGAGATAGAATGGAATTTGTCTCTCATTAGCCTGGCGACTAAAGGGTCAAGTAAACAGTGCGATAGCGGTTAAACCGCTTAGAGACCTGAACAGGATGTGTTTTAAGTTGCGCTTCCAATTTCAACCCACCTTATTCTATTCTGGTGGACATTGGTTTTCGCTACTGAGCTAAGAGGTAGAATGTGACTTACAAACCAAAAAACAATCAAATAAGGACCGACAAAACACATAGGTCAATTGGACCGGAAGAGCCCACTGTGGGCCCAAGGTTCCCGTGAATTGTGCAGCAGCGGGAATGCAAATTAGCTACGTCAAGAACCGCAGATCAGTTGTAACAGAAAGCGCAGTAGATATCTTACTCAATTTTACAGTGTTGTTTTCCGAAGGAAGCTTCGACAAACTCGAACTCCGGGGCTGGATCGATCCCCTCGCGCTCAAAGTAAGTCCTCAATGCGCGTTTTGGGTCGTCTTGATAGAGATTTTCGTGACTCAGGCAGGCTGCTCCGTTGATATCACGAAGGAAGCTGGGCACATCGGCAGCTGCATCTTCAGCTGGAATCAAACGACAGTTGTTTTATTTATTGATAAGAAACCGGTTGGGAATCAGGCGCTGACTTTTTACTAAAACTCTGATGTGGAAAATGATATGCCAGAACGCCATAAACCTAGGTTACACTCGTAGACCACCGAAGGAATAGGAAATGTATACTACACGCAAGCGAGAAAGGGCATGAACGAAATACGTCACTGATATTGAAACAATGTGGATAATGAACCCACACTGTGGGTTGTCAGTGATACAAGGGATTCAAAGTTGGAGTTTCTATGCAACTGGGACGAAAGGATGGCAGCAATACAGTACGGTCAAGAGACAAGAACTCAACTTAACCCATCACCACCGTTTAGTTTACGCTGTTCTTGTCCGGTAAACTGATAGAAACTGTACACCAACCAAGGGCAGCGATAGCTTGGTTACGAGAATCCAAGGGAACACTGGGACTAGCTGAACGATGACGTCAAAATAACAGTCAACTTTAGTGAAAAACAAGGAAAGCTTGTCGATATACTTATGCAAGAAATGTGTATGTGGAAAAGTAACCACAAAATTGTAAACTTACCTGCGAGCCCCCAATCACATCCAAAGTCAACGGTAGCTTCCGGAGCATTATCCACTGTGCGTTCCTTCGCAACTGCCTTCTTGGCAAAGTGAACTTGCTTCAACTCTGTCCAAGACAGAGTGGATTCTTTTTCCGTATCATCTTCTGGCCCTTGAAGAACGTTCAATCGAGTACTGCCACCAAAGCGTATCACGTGTCCCACATGAATGCGTACAAACCGACCAGAGGGAAGGCGGCGCTACGGAGCGTGATAGAGACAAAACACAAACTGATTAGTCATCGTAACGTCAGGTTAAGCGAATAAATATTGGGTTCATTCAAACTAGGAACAAAAAGATCGCACGGTGTGAACTAACTTTGTTGACGAAAGTACCATGAGTGCTCTCCAGATCCTGTATATACCAACCAGCAGCTTCCGGTTGTGCAAGAGATGTTTTGGCGATAGATGGCGGTGGACGGCCATACTGAAGCACTGCATGCAAACGACTGACTGACGGATGGGCGAGTGCAACACACTGTCCGTGAAGGCGGTTGTATGGGGCGTAAAATGGCTGCGGTTGTCGACCAAACAGGCAAAAACTAAGTTCTGTGGCATCGCCGGAGTCTTGGGCTCCACTGAGGATGACTGTACATTCTGAAAGAGGCGTTCCATTCTTGATTACTTCGAAACGGTAACCCAATTCGACCGGACACGGCATCGCCCACACCGGAGGTTTGTATGTGTTGCCGGCAGGCTGGAGTTTGGGTTGGACGAAGACTTGTGTCTGAAAGCGCAATGTGATGACAAATATACACGTGACGGTAATGCAATTAAAGGAAAGCAGTCCCACGGACAGATATGTGAGCGAGAAAATCTGAAGTCCTTGCTGGAACTCGATTCTAATTCATGTTCTATAATGCTGAGGCACAGAAAGCATTAGTTCCCTAAGCTAGACATTTAAAAAGTATTTGTATTTAGCTACCAACGTTGTTTATGGACTCGTGACTGAAAGGGTTGGTCTTCAGCTACCGGCGAAAAGCTTGCGAGTTCGATTCTCCCTGTGGATCCGTGAGATGCACACTGCTGATGACACACAGTGGGGGTGAAACAGTCGTACAGTGTTCCTCAGCTTTTCGACATGGACTGGTCCCACTCAGATGGCGAAACCAGCATTCGTCTTGTCCTTGTTCAATTGCTATCAGTTAGCTGACTTCAATAGTAAAAGGTCATCTAACCCATATTGTGTAGCTGATTAAAGTGGATTAGTTATGCAGCATAGTAAAAAGATTCTAACAACGCGTGGAACCTACGATAATATTCCCATTTGGCAGCCAGCCTGTTGGCAGGTGATACGACGATTAGATGTCAGTATGAACGCGTTCGCTGATACTACCAGCATTCTCATGGCAACGGACTAGTGAAACGGCTCAGCAGCGGATAAACACCAAGCGTTTCGATCGACTCAAAGCGACCCAAGGCACTACTGAAGGCCAGTCAGGTGTCGTGGGTTGCCTATACCAGATGTTATCGTCATCCTGTTGTACAAATAAGGTCTATGCACATAAACTGTTTTTCGAATTCCTTGGTTTACTCTGGAAACACCTATGTGGGCTACATGAACCCAACATGCCCCAAAAGCTTGTGCGTCATATTAATAATGCCCACCCTTTCTGACATATATTACCAGAGCATACCTCGTCCTATTATTCCGTCTAATATTGGCAGTTAGCTGAGGAGACGAATCCGTTGGCTACCGTCTTTTAATGATACAGGTGATCTGGCAGGTTCAAAGACACCGAGCCGTTACTGGTTCCCCATCAAGAAGACATTGAGATGGTCATGTACTGCAGAGGACAGCTCTGCACAGCCATAGTGCCACTAGCTACCTGATCGGACCATATTTGCAGCCAATCATCACCGTTGTGGGGACCTGGGGAAAGGGCCGCCACCTTTGCGACATAGTGTATCGTTCCGTCTCCGAAGTCATTATCCATGAGCTAATATGCAATCGGCATTGCCCATTTAAACAAGCGTTAAGAATAAATTACCTTGTCTTCGCACAAACACTCCGAGACATCGTCTTTCCCGGTACCCTCAGAAACGGGAGACGATAGCTGGTTTTTTGCATTGGGCGCTTCACTCTCCTCATTCAGGGTTGCTTCGGGGTACGGGTTGCTCTCAATCGGAGTAGGGCTGGAGGACATTGAGGTGTAAAGTTAGGGCTATAAAGTAGAAACAGAACGAATGGTGAGGTTCGTCCAATCGTCTAAAACAAAAGTAATCCAAGTGTAGCAGCTGTCTGGCCGAATAGAAAATCTCACGAGAAGACAAGCAACCAAAGGCACCATATTCATGGATCAATAGTTCCGGAAAAAAAGCTGACAAGCAGAAGATATGCTCCCTGATAAGTTAAATGTTCCAACCGAATGGGGATGCCCTCATGAAACATATCCAATTAGAGATTATGTAAACTAGGGATAAACCCGAATGCTCCATCAGCACCACCGAAACTTGCAGATCACATGCTCATTTGTGGCCAGAACCCCTGTGGTTCCGAAATGAAGCTGTTGCTAAGCACTTGAATGCTCATAGTAGATAAAATGAAGCGTATTAATCGAGCTGGACCGAGTCAATAATTATTAAAACCTCGCTGCAGTGAAACCGGACTCAAAGAGATATCGTCCGAATACTCGCTCGTACACAAAAAAGGGAGTGGAGGCACGAAACTACACAGAGAAGTCTATCCACAAACACAAAGACATCGGCCCAGCCATTAAGCTCCAACGAACAATAGAACTGTAAAAATACTGCACTCTGAACCAGTTGAGAAACTAGAGAACGTACCATTCGGAAATACCAAAGTACCATTCGGAAAATACCAAAAAATGGAACGTTATACAACCACTTGATTAGGTGAAACAAAACCAGATCACAAAGCAAGAAGGAAACGAAACAACCATAGTGGATGAACAAAACTACTGAAACATATAGGACGTGAGACCACATCGCGACCCAGATTCCAGGTCCACTAATCAGACCACGGGAGGGCCACCACTCAACCACGCATTAGATACTGTTTAGCAACTACATGAATACAAGCAGAAGAGGAGCAATTACCCACCCAACCCCGCAGGAAAGATATCTCCATGACTGCTGAATAAGCAGTTGCAATCCAACTATCAGACTTGGCGAACAGCCGAACAGTTAGATCAGATTTGAATGATGGTACTAATGAGTTGACCATTCATATGGTCCTGACAATAGCCCGTATATGCATGACCGGGGCGACAGAGTAAACCATACACTGCGTCAGACAGCCCCCATGGAAAATGAACGGAAATATAAGCCTTAATTTTGCCCCTAAACATGTTCTTTGTACTCAGCTCGTTTCGTTCAAAAGTACTTGATAGCGAATATAGTAAGTTCCCGAAAATACTACTCTTCGCCCGCTTAGTGAACGTTTGACGCCGGTCAACCATTGCCTGGTTCACGTGTTATTTAAACACCACAGACAGATACAACCGCCCTGTAAGGATCACGTTTGTAAATAAGCACAAACTCGACTTCCACGCAGCAAGCTTTTAACCTCTGTTGTTTGCGGTATTTTCGGTATACCCTGTTGCGTTACCTCCTTATTCTAAAAACAGGTAGTCAGTGGAGTTTCCATTTACTTCGTTACAAAAACCAATGGTATCAGGCACCAGGCTGTAGGTTTATTCTTTTTTCCATAAATACGACGTCGTAATCTGACTCTAATGACCAGTGTGTACGCTACATAGGATGCCATGCAAACTGGAATATTCTGAGAAAATTACGGTTCAGTCAGTGTTACTCTTGACCGCTATGTATACATTTAACGAATGTACACTACTGAGAAACCGCAAGGTTTGATTCCAAACCGGTCCGTGACTGACTGTGGCCGAGTAATAATAAATTATCATTAATTAACGAGTGATGAAAAAACTAACTGATAAATAATTGATATTATTAACAATCATCATCATTGTCAAAAGCAAGAACCGCGTACTCATCGTACACTGGTTGCAACTGCCGCAGTTTCGTTCACCGATGATTTAGGGGAGGGGGAGGTAGCTGCGCATCGCACGCGCCAGCTGGTAAATTGGTGCATAAATCAAGCACTGTCAGTGGGCTGTCAACTGGGAGTTGGGGTTGGAAAAGGAGCTATGCATTGAAGGCAATAGCTTGGATGCACGAACGCCATTGAGGGCGCGACTGAGCCACGTCTGACAATGTCTCTAGCCATTGATGTGGCCCATCTCGGGGTCCCCATCCAGGAAGACGACAATGATCAGCGCAGCTGAGTTTGCTGGTAATGGCTTTCATACTTCGCTGCCAAGTCATTGTTTGACCGCCTCTGGCTCTCTTCCACCCTTCACGTGGTTGTGCGAAAACAGCCCTTCGAGGAAGTCGGTCGAATGGCATACGCA